CAACTCATATGAAAAAACTAATATACAGTAGACTCGCTTATTAAATTTTTAGTTCATCCAGCCACTGAAGCGAGGGGGCTCTTGTCTTAAACACAACAAAAAAATAGCAGACCAATGTAATACTCAAAACAAAGCAACTGACCTTTTGGAAGCGGAGCTTCGAGTTTCTGACTTGTTAGATTAATCCATTTTTTCCTTGGCTACAATTTTTTGGCGGTACCGCTGTGATATATTTTTTTTTGCTTGCTAAACTAACCCGATCACTAACCCTAACCCTAACCCGATCACTAACCTGATCACTAACCTGATAATTATTTGAATTTATCAGAATACTACACTTGTTTTTTAATTTCAAATGACGTTGGAGAATAGAAGGATAACGAAACTCCTTACCACAATACTTACATGTTCGGGAGGCAGATGCTTGAAGCCTTCGGTTCTCACTCAATTTTTTTTTAATTCTAAATCATTGACGAAAGCCTTCTGCGATGGTACCACTGAAATATTGTCCAAGTTTTCTGCTGTAAAAACCTCGCGCTGGGATTTATGTACCGAAAGTGGAATTGTAACATGCACACCATTGCGGGTCGCCTTAAACTCTCGATTAACAATAGGTTCCCATCCAAGCTTGTTGAGTAAAGGGTTGCCAAATAGAACTAGAGACTTGCAATCTCCATCTCTATTTTTTTCAGCTTTAACAATTGAAAACTTTTCACTTACCGAAATTGTATTTATTCCGTCGCTAATAGACACAGGTACATTATATGATGTTCCTAAAACGTTAGCCTTGCTCGCAACACCAGTAATGCGTGGAGTATTCGATGTATCTATTTTAAGTCCCATGTCTTCTGCAATATCATCAGAAATAAGTGAGTCATTAGAACCGGAATCGATCAATGCATGTGGAATCGTCATTGACGCAACCTTACAGCATATTGTCGCCACATCATCAGGGTCTTTAGCCTCAATAAAATTTATTAGGCTGGGGTTGTTCGTTAGATTTACTTATCCGATTGACAGCTTCAATCAAAGGGAATAAAATATCGTTATAAAATTCCGTAACATTTTTCCAAATTACTTCTTTCTCCTTGGAGGAATATTTCGATGCAAAATTAACTAGAAGCTTATCCTTCAAACCGTTATATACTTTACCCAAATAATCTAAAATTTCTGGTAAAATAGGTTTGGGACATTCTTTAACCATCGCTTCTACCATTGACTTAGAAGATGCCCGGAATATTTTTTGAGTTGCAGCTACCGTAGATGAAGTATTTACTGATGATTGCTTTTTTTTTCCTGCTTTGGCCGTAGGCTGCGAGATTTACCTCTAGAACCTTTTTTTTTTTAATCCGAAAGACTGACGTAAATTGTTTTCAGAGTCAATTTCTTCTTGATCTGATGAATTGTAGACCCGCTTTCTCCTAGAGTCTTCCTCTTCCGATTCTTCAGAAGTTGGTGACGAGCTATCAGAGTAATATTCTTCTTCATCCTCAGACCTTACTGCAAAATTGGCCTTTTTAGTCAGTTTCCCACTCACTCTTGAAGTGGCCCGTCGCCTTGTCTGCCTTGTATTTTTGTGCCGTACAGCTGTGGTACCACTGCGAACTAACTTCTGTTGTTGTATGGCTGGAACAGATCGCTTTGTACCAGAAACTTTTCTAATTGTATTAATTTTCTTTATATAGTAATTTTCATACCCCAATCGATTTTCTAATTCATCTTCGATAAATTTATCAAAAGCATCCGGGTCACGGGGTGCATTATCTGGATAACCTAATCTCATAGCGATTATTTCCAAATGCTCGTATGCCTTCTTATTTCGAGAAACTTGCTGAGCTGATTCTAATGGTTGTTCTTGCATATGCGATAATGAACTGGGCAAAATAAGTGCTGTTCCATTAAGCCCCCCGTTGTATGTAAAAGTAGCAGGCTTTCGCTCTTGCCATGTATTTTTGATAGCAGTAAAGAATGCATTTATATCACCTGGATTAGCAATCTTAACTCGTGTAAAGAGTTCTTCTGGCAAATGGTTCCACAATATTGCCAAAGCATCAGCATTATTATTTGGCGTTTGTAATAATAGCAGACGGATTCTCTCTTCATAAGTTTCTGGAGTATCTGTTAGTAAAAATTTCTCTTGAGCTAATATTGATAAAGATAAAAGAGGCTTGACGCGATCCTAAAGTCAATTCATGATATCTGTGTCTAATCCAATTTCTGAATAAGGCAAGAGTGTTAATATCAGTACCAGGAGGATATTGTGCGGGAACTGGTGCATACTTACCAGACATTTTAGACTTTAAGATATTAATATTGGTTTTTACTGCATCATTAAACTCATTGACTTTTAAGGATATTCCATATGAAAAAACTTGTTCGATTTTATTAACATAATCATCCGGTGGCTCTTGCCCTGTGTATTGCGGAATTTGGGCGAGATTTGGTGCTAGTGATGTCATAACATCAGATAAAGTTGCCATGTTTTGATTCTGAGGCGGTATATTATTCTGTAAATCAAAAATTATTTGGTTTAAAAAATTAATTCGGTCTTCCAATTCTAAATTAGCATCACGGACTAGCCTCGTTCTATTTTTCCATTTATTGTATTTCCCATATAAATAGCGCGCGGTTGGGCCTCATTTTTATACTTATTACAAAGAATCTTGAGTGCAAAAATTTTTGACAGTAACCGGGTTTTATTTTTCGCATAATAGACTCGCCAGAATATGTGCATTAATTTTTCACCTTTACGGCTTTTCTCCGCATCATCCAATATATATGCAGTGGCGTTTTGCCAGCTCATATCATCATCGATAGCGATTCGAGTGTTATCTCTTTCCATCGCTAACTCAAGTTGAGATTGATTATAAAATCGGTTTGATTCGTCTAATGCATATTCGATTGAATTTCTTAGCAATAAATCAGAATTTCTATGTATTTTATTTCTAATCGATTGGCTGACGGATGCGAACGTCCTGGGTGCATGATCGTCTGACCTCGGTGATCCTGGTATTCTCGGTGGAGTAAGATTAGCCATTTCTATTTGATTAGGCAATTTTTTTCTGAGGCGGAATAATTCTTCGATTCTTTTTTTAAGTCTGGAAATACTTTTTTCATATAAAGCTTTTTGTTGTCAATAACAGTTTTGTTTGACTTAATTTCTTTGAGAGCCGATCTTAATTGTTTACGTAAATCTGATATTTGAATTTTTAAATCATCAATTTCGTTCTCTTGATTAGAGATAGTAGAATTCTGTCGGGTCAACTCTCCCTCGCATTTTTCCAATTCTTGTATAAGTTTACGAATTTTTTTTTTCATTTGTACGATTTATATCTACCTCGCGATTTAATTTCTCTCGTAATTCGATATTCGATTGTGCAAGTTGCACGAATGCTGGATCTAGGATTTTGTTTTCCATTATTATATTTTGATCAAAAAATGACGGGTTATCTTCCCATTATTTCTATTGATTCTAAAATAGCGCGTAAACTCGATATTGCCATTGAGCTTAGAAAATTGTATTATAGGCCTCAGGGCTATTATCGTACCGCTAAAAAATTGCGCGATGCGTGTAGAAAAGCTGGAAATAACTTTTCATTGGCCGATGTGAGAGAATGGTTAAATAAACAGGCGCTACATCAGATTCACAAACCCTGCCCAAAATTTATTCCGCGTGTAGCATTCAATACAATATGCGTTCCGAATGAAGTACATCAATGGGATACGCTTTATACCTCTTACGATAAAGTTGGGAGAAAGATATATATGTTTAGTGTCAATTGCGTAGACGTGCTTCACGCTATAAAGCGTCAGTACCTATCGGCGCTGTTTTACGTAATGATGAACTGTCTCGAGAAAACATCCTCACATCCAAAGCTATTGTTAAGGCCATGCTAAAAATCTATAACGATCCTGATTGTCCGCTTAAATTTCCGAAGTTATAATTACTGATAAAGGCTCCGAGTATGTGGGCGATTGTAATAAATTTTACGCCAAATACAATATAAAACATGTACAGGCTAAGTCTAAACGCGGAGTTACATTGTTGAAAGATATAATCGAACGTTGGCTGAACGATTATATATAATACAGGATGCGGAGGATTTATTGTTACCCTTAGACAAACGATCAAGAGCGTGGGTAAAAAATTTACCAATCATTGTTAACGATCTTAATAATTCAGTATCTCGTTTGATTGGGATGACTCCGGCAGAAGCGATAAAAAAGAAATATGTGTTTGCGAAACCATCCAAGCCTCGCATTGGCCCTATGGGTTATTACGAAACTCGTTTAACACATAATGATTCAGTTAGATATTTACTTGATGCCGGTGAATTAGAAGGAGGAAAATGTCGTGCAACTGATTGTAATTGGTCTCCGCAAATTTACCATACCAAGGAATCGTTGATACAAAAAAATCAACCGGTTTTATACTGGCTTATGGATGAAAATGGTGATGGACCCGAAAGATTATTTGTAAAAGAACAATTGATGGTAATCCCACATGACACTGAATTACCGCCCAATTGGGTACTCAATTGATAATGTAACAGTTATATTTGTAAACCATGAATTTTTTGGAGAATGTCATCTACTTCCGCTTTAGATCGCTTTTCCACTTTTTCTTCTTGACTGGCAAGTTTAAGATATAATTTATATAGTATTTCTAAGCTGGTATATATTTCTTCATTATACCAATCCTTGAAATCTGCCATTCTTTCATTATAGGTTTCCTCATTTGGTGCACGTTTTTTTGCTACAAACCTGATATAATCCTCTCTCTCTTTTGTTGTAAAGTTTTTAAATAACTTACATATGATACGCCTAACCTGTCATATTTTTTGGTACCTTGGCTGTATGCGACTTTGATTACATCAATCATTGCTGATTCGATATCTTTGTGGTTGACCATTTTGAATTATCTATGTTTGCTATATAAGCATTATATACAATTATTTAAATTAAAACTTTGCCTTACACAGGATGCATGCCAAACATACTTGTTCTTTTATTTCTTATTCTGGTGAAATTTGTTTACGAAGCTGTACGCGACCCGAAGGTTGTTGCTTTCATTATAAAAGCCCAAAACGGGTTGCCTGTTCTGATTGCGGCAAACCTACCCGCTCTGAATCCGGTCGCTGCCCGAAACACATTAGAGGATACTACGTTTCGAAACATTTCCAAAAATATCTTAAGAAAAAACGTTAAAAATTTTTCGGGTACCAAAATGTTTTAACGAATTAAAGGCTATCTCCCATACCATCACGGAATGGTACCAAAAATGTACATCTAGTTTTTTTTTGCTGCTAATCTAGTTAATTTGTCGTACTTTTTTATTAACCTTATCTTGCTAGCCTGCGCTACCACGCGTGCTGCGCCCTTTTACTAGCTAACTCGGTTAAAAAATATGGTACTAATATCTGTCCTAACCTATACACAAACATACTACTACCCTAACCTCTATTTTTAGCGTTCTAGACGTTAATTCCCAATTGATATAATTTCATCATAAATTTCTCATGAATTAGCCTCTCTCTCCCTCACTCTACTCTAACCTCCTTGTCTGCCCGTGCTCTCTACTACTCGACTGCGAAAATTTTCGCCAAATTCACGAGTAGCTGAAATGTTATCAAGTCACCAAATGACTTGTATCCAAACACGTAAAAGGAGCCCACGTGACTGGATTCGGGAAAGAAAACACCGCCAATTAAACGAGCAAAAAAAGAAAGCAATTATGCCCTTTATATTAAAAAAGACAGTTACAAATTTATTTCAAAGGGAGGAAACCTCTAACTCGTAAAAATTCCACGTCCATGTTGGCGGCCGCTCTTTGTCCTCGTGTGAATTTGTAAAAGATGCGAGTCAAACTAGATTAGAAAAATTTTGTTCTATTTGCAGGGAAAAAAAGGCACTCATCATATTGTTTATGACATATTGCAACTATCAACCCTTACTGTCATTGTTATGACTAGCCCAAAATGTGCATCTGATTAATATTCTTATAATAATCTTTGTGTGATAATGTATCTAATATGTCACGCAGAGGCAACAAACCAGGGGTCAAACTGCAATTTATGCAGCTAATAGAAAACACAAATCTCGAACTGCTATTTAATTCAAGCGTCATAATAAACGAACGTTTTTACTATTAACATTACGCTCATAGTTGAATAGACGACAAGAGACGAATAGACAGCACGCTAATAAGATTACTTTTTACCAAGATTGTTCTCTAATAAAACGATACTTCTGCCTTACTGATCGGCGTCTTGGGAAGGAGGTGTTTGATTGACTAGTTACAGTCATGTAAAATGCCGTCTTTTGTTGTCGAAAATAAGCATAGGTAGAGTGTACCAAATCACGTGTTTGTAAATAATATCTAATAATGTAAATCTGGCATATCTCTTTAGGTTATTAATGCCCCTGAACCACGTAAAAGACGTTTTGACTTCTATATTGAGTACATTTATATAAAAGTTTTCCGTCATCTTCATCTTTATCTTCATTAACTTGTTTACTTAAATTGAACAAAGCCGGGGGCAATGAATTAAACAAGTATAGATCATATCTTGTTTCTTGATACAAGATATTTCGTTATGTAACTTTGGATAAGCTATGCCAATAAAAAATTGTCCAAACGTAAGTATGTTATCGGTATTGTGCGGTTTTTAATACGGACAGCGAGTATTCCTAGTTTTCATAGAGTCACAATAAAGCGTACGAAAACATAACTTTGACATCATATACACCAGATTAATAATCAATCGAATCAATGAAACATTGTCAAAGTACCCCTGACAATTCCCATTTCAGTCGATGAAATATATACATATTACAAGTGTCAATTGTTTAATCTTTATTAAAAAAACAAATGAGCCTCTCTTCTATTATTATAATTATTTGGGAAAAGTTAACTACGCTGCAGGTAAAATTTGCGACAGAAATTACTAGTCGACCAGTGCTTTTAGTAGGCTAGCATACGCTATTCAAATCCCAAGCCAAACTTACAATAGCATTAAACCGAAGATCCGGCAATTTTTCTGTCTTTTGTAATTAACTTCATTGATTTTAATTAAGGGGGGGGGGGGGAATCTAATAAATAATGATAGACAGTCTCTGTCATAATCGATATTCACAGGAAAGTGGCAAAGTGGAGGGAGTGTATGAATCTATCCAGAGAAATCATAACCGCTAATAAAATCATTGATTCAATTAACGTACACTACTATGTTTAATTATATTATTAATTACACTTACATCCAGTTGGATATGATCATTCCAACTAGTGCAATTACGAAAGTAGCAACATGAACAGCGCCCAAACTGTTTGCACTAGACTTGCCTGTACTACTGGGCTTGTTTGTTGAACTTGTGGATGTTGGCTTTGTAGAGTTGTTTGTAGTTGTTGAACCTCCACCGGATGAACCGCCAGTTGAACCACCACTTGAACCGCCAGTTGTTGAATTATTCCCATACGATCCTGAGTTGGGGTCTGTGCTAGTACTGTTTCCAGCAGTTGTGTTGTTGGCAGTGGCGTTGGGATTGTTGGGATCAAAGCCAGGAATCGTACCGTCAATTCCGTCAATAGTGAAACGTGCGGAAAATCCCGAGTAATCTCCATCCGAGTACTTGAGGAAGTAAAATTGACCAGATGGTCCGAGATTTTTAGGTACTCCCTTGAAAACGAATTTTTTAGCAATTCCTTGAATACCCTGGCCAATCGTCAATACAGGGATCTGTTGCTCTTCGGGACCGGTCATAAGCTGGATTGTGACACTTTTGAGTTGTTCAAGTGGTGGGTTTTTAGAATTTATCCAAGTAATGGTTTGCTGTGTTTCGGCTTTCCAAACCGTAGAACTGACGGGTGAAGTAGTAAAGATGCCAGCCTGGGCTATCGAAACAAGAAGAACGATGAAAACGGTTGATATGATGACTTTCATGGTGTTTCAGGTATTAAATGAGTTGAGTGGAGAGTAAGAAAAGTCGAATGGCAAGATAGGTGAGCAGGGAGGTTGGTATTCTATACCAATTAGTATAAGTGGGATAAGAAGGAGAGTGGTAGGAGAGAGTCTACTCTCTGGATAGAATCAACACAAGTGTTTTTGCGAATTAGACAGCTGCAGCCATTAGATAAACCCATTATATATGTTTGTGTAGATAATGTGCGACAGTCGAATTATTACGGATAAGAAATGAAAAATTTCTTCGTACATATTCGGAAGGTGTTGCAAACAGTATCATGATTAAAAGGCATCTAATAAGACGATCACCAAATAAATAAAATCAATAGAATGTCTGTGTTCAGTGCAGGCTTACTATTCGAAATTTCTAAGAATATAAAGAACTTGGGAAACAGAGAAAGAGAGCAGTTGTAACAGTACGAAAGGCAAGTACTGAAAATTGTATATAATAATTTGCTCCAATTATTATGTGTCTTAGTAGTATCGACATAAAATCAATTTACATTATTGTATTATTTTTGTGCTTCGGCCGATCGCATCTTGGCGGATTCGTTTCACTCTTGTACTATCCCTATTTAATACTAGGCGTTATTTTCACAAACGAAGTAATAAAAGCGAAATAATGGAAAAATGTTAAAAATAAGTTTTATTTAAGCCGAAATCACGACATCCCATTTTAGTTATTTAATGTTGGTATTGGACCCTAAAGAGCAAAACCGATCCCTTTACATGAGTCTATACATGTGCAGATGCAAAAAAGTCGCTGAGTATGAGTAGTTCCAGTAATAGAGCCAATGGACTGTTGAATCATGTTTTAGTATTAAGTTAACTTAACGACTTGAACGATAATAATAACGGTTGTAGGATTTTTAGCAGCTAATGTTACTTGTACCCTTATCATACATAGCATGTTGATTAATTACCTTATTAATATGCGACTATATATTATTTGTAATAATTGTTGTGGACGAATTAAGAACATGCTTTAAATTTGATTGATGAATTCAATTTATGATACAGTGCCTTGTTAAGGATCTTTTCGATCTTTATGTAAAAAAAAGGCCAAAGTTTTCATAATGCGACGATAACAGAAAGATGGAGCCATTCGAAGGTTTAAGGCATAATATTTGGACACAGCATTGTTTACCAATCAGATTGTAAAGTCTCCGGGCAGTGCTAGTAAATTCATTTAGTCAAGCATACGAAAACTTTTGCTTTTTTCTTCTTTCTCCATTATCGTACCAGTTTTGATAACCCAGTCAGCTCGCCAGAAATTAGATGCTATGCCTTAACTAAATGTTATTAGCCCGCATGTCGGTATGCTATGTATGTTCCTAATAAGTACTGGACAAGGGCCGAGGAGATTGTATACAATGAGCCTCCCACCTGATCGAAACTTGTAAATCATGAACTTAAATGTCCCAATTACGGTGTTCTCATGCATAAATTAATTGGAACAAATTAATTTCCCTAGCCACGCTTACGTTCTATGGAGTTAGCAAATTCTATACTAAGACAAAAGTGTATATACAATCTATATGGCATGTGACATGTTATCATGCTTTGAACCATATGGTTCTAACGATTTAGACACAATGATGCCATAAGAAATCTTTATTCACGAGCTTTCGTTATAATATTTACATCACTGTAATGAACCGCGGTCTATAGATAAAGCCTTTGTTTCCCGCACATGTGTGTACAATGTGTTAAGAAAAAAACCGGAATTATAAACTTGCATATTACGCAAAACAAATGGTGCAAATAAGATAAAATTTACATATTCGAAAGCTGAATACTCAGCAGATTTTACTATAAGTAGTAGGAATGCTTTCACCGTTGCTTTCTATGACCACAACGTTCACAATAATCATGCAAACTCAATATTAGTCGCTACATCTTTTACAGAAATTCTCTGTTTGATTTACATGTAAGTCAAGACGTTAGTCTGATACTTAGGAGAAAACTTCAGCGAGGCGGCTAATATGTTTCGGGTCATTGTCTTGTTACACCTGCCCTTTATCCCTTAACATGTCTTCAATGCCTGAAAAGAGGTCTATGTAACGTGCTTGCATCCAATATTTCGGGAAGATAACATAATTGTTATATCTCTCACGCAGAATTTCCCAAGCAAAGAGATCTTTTAACGTATGATTAGGGTCAATGGTTCTGGTTTTTTAATGCTGCCATAAACTATACTGATAGAAATTTATGAATCTCCGCGCGTCATCCCTAATGCTTTGGTTTTACAGTAACTTGGCAATGAATATTTTGCTTAAAAGTCATCGTTCTAATTAATATTTTCCGAAAAAGTTTTTGCATGTTAAAGGTATTTAGGAAACAGTATTAACGAAACATACCTATAACACGCAATTCAAAATAAAACAGATATACAGTCAAACCTCGTTATAACGAATTTTCGTTATACCGAAGGGATTCTGGCTTCCCCGTTTTCTAAATAGTGAAATTCCCTCGTTATAACGAATTTAATAGTAAAATCTCGTTATACCGTTACCGAAGTT